ATGTGATTTACACAGTCATACTAGCATATTGAAGTTTTCTCTGAAATTCACCAAAGAAGAGGGTTTGGCAAACTAAGTAGCTTAATATCCAGTGGCAATAGCATATAGTTCACCACCAAATTTGTGTATGCTGGTGCATTTTCCATCTTTTGGCTTCAAGGTCTCTCTAAGGAGCTTCCTCCTTTTAGGGCAACACATATACCCATTATCTCTTTGAACTCAGTGTAGGACACATGCCAGATGAGGAGAAAGGTTCTTTGGGCAAGTCAAAGATTCTGATTGAAAGTTAATTCATTGCCTTGCTGACTGTATCCATTACACATCCACGCACTGCCCTCTGGAAAGTTGCACATTATGGGGTCTTTATAGACTAGATGCCAAAATAAAATTTCCCTTAACTAGCCTCGTGCATTTTGGGGTTTGTGTATAACAGGATAAATCTATGGCAGGAAGATAAAACTACATATTAAACCTAAGCAACAGCATGCAAAGTTCCTGTGGTACTGCCAGCAAAATTTACAGAATCCAGCCAGAAGAATGGACTAACAAGGACCAATGGGCTTTCTCTTTGAGAAACCATCCTGGAAGGTTTCTTTGGATGCAGCATAATGCATCTTACCTAGTCTGAATATTCAGGCAATTGTTTGGTGCTATGGAAGAGGAGAGGAGGAAGCCACGGAACTGTCTGTCTGTCTGTCTGTCTATCTATCTGATATCTTCAAATGGCTGAGAAGGATTAGTGAACAGTTTATAGAGATTACAGAGATAAATTAGGAACATGAAGTTCACATAGGTTCAGGTTTTAGCTTGTATAACTGCCATGGTTAAGGCATATGTGGTTATAAATGAAGAATGTATTAATGGCTGATCAACTCATGAAATTCCCAAGTTCAATGACAAAAAACCTTACTTGGTTTACAAAACAAGCTTCCACTAATTTTGTGATGTGCTCAGTAGGAGTAACAACATTGTACAAGGCAGATGGCAATCTGGCTCTCAAGACATGACAAGCCATCCTGCGTAGCTAGCCATGGTGGGTGGTTGTATTGCCTGAACCTAGACCACTTTCTGCAGGATGGTTTCTTTTTCAGCAGCAAGCCACCTTGACAACCCATTGTTAGTTCTTCAATCTATGAGGAGTTGCCATGTTGTTCAGAATAATTTTATACTTGCTGAACTGCTCAGCAAGAATGGCAAAAATTCCTACCACTCTTTACAATTTTGCCCTTGCTGCTTCCAGTGATAGCCCCTCCACCAGTACCCATGCAGTGCTTTGGAGTGACCATCACTGGTTTTCTTTAATTTTCAGTCCCATGGAATTCTACAACTTTGTTCGTTTTTTAAAACTCTACAAGTGAGTTCTTATGGTGGTCCCCTGTGACTAGTCTTGCTCGGTCACTTCCCTTGCATGTTTCAGCTGTCAAAAGGATCTGTAAAGTGGAGTAGATAACAAGCATAGAAACTGAGACGGTAAGACTGCATATAGGCATATATATGTCAACTGAAAAGCACTTGAAAAGACTGCCAAATAATAATAATGGTAATAATAATAATAATTACAACTAGCACATTTTTGCAGCTGAGATTGTAATTTCCTGACTCCAACTGCTGGAAAGGACACTGGAATAATAGCTGGAGGTCCACAAGTCGAGGAGGGTAAGAACAATCCATTGTCTGCTTTTCAGTTGGGTGCCTTAACTACACATCCCACACTGTGTAGTTTCACTGCAGGGTGCCTTAGTATGTTGGGCAAACTCACCCAGGTTATGAATTTTTGTTCGTACAATCCAAGCAAGCACTGGTGGCTTATATAAGCCAAGGTGGCTTGTTGCAAGCCACAGCACATGCGGGATGAGATCTGCATCATCACCATTTGGCCACGGCTGATTGTGTTCTCTGAACCCAGATGGCGTGGCATGTTAAAGGGTAAAGCAAACCTCAGATAACCGATGGGCTGTTACAGGGTTATTGGAGGGTTGCTTAACTGTCCAACAGCTATGGCACCTGGATTCAGACAGTATAATAACTGTGGCTGGGAAGCAATTAAGAAAATTGTGCCAGGTGCACACTGCAGTTCATAACAAGCCACCAAGGCTAATTTAAACTATGGTGCTTATTTGGGCATAGGATTCTACCACCATGGATTATTTGGCACAAAAATATAACTACAGCTTTTTGAATTGCATGCCAAATAAACAAAATTCTCACAAAATGTCACAAAAAGCAGCATTTTGCAAACTGTAAATGTTTTTGCAGAATGCATTGATTCTCCTGCTTATTTTACATTTTATAATTTGTTTGCTTTTGCCAGTCATGTAAATAGCAAATTTTATGAAGCACTAAAGTTCCACACTGTGACCACACTCTGGGAACTGTATCCAGCAATTCCTCTCACTTCTGACAATTCACTAGCTATTGCTCATACTTTCAAGGGTAGTTTGCAACTGTAAGAGCTGGGAACTCCCTTGCAATAAATGAAAGTCAAGAATCTAATGAATCTGAACCTGCTGTTCCTGGCCAGTTGTAAATTCTGCTCTTTCCTGCAGTCTGTGGAATCATGGCATACATACAGTTCTGAATATACCTTCCTAAAACACTATTAGTAAAAGTACAAGTTAACATTCCAACATGCAAAAGAAACTGTTTCTCCTTTCTTTAAAATAGTGAACAAGGAACCTAATCGGATTGAGTAACTGGGCATTTGGAAACTCTGAATGCAGGAAGTTCTGAACACAGGGAATTTGCTAACAGGGTAACAAATTCAAAAAGACTGAAGAATGTGGACATCTTCATGGAACAGAAGGTTATATATGGTTTTTGAATCCTAAGGGCTCCATTTACAACTCTGAGGGCTTTCCTAAGAACAAATGATTGCTAATAATGGAAGCAATGCAATTAACAAGAAGGGTAGCATGCATGACATTCAAATAATAATGTCAGAAGCTCACAGGATTGGACTAGATGGTGTCAACAACCTGCAACTGATGTTAGGGGAGAAAACACAGGTGTGCTTGGCAAGGAGGCAACCTTCTAGAACAGGGGTCCTCAAAACTTTTTCAGCAGGGGGCCAATGGAAAGGTGCTGGTGCTAGTCGTGGGCCAGAAAGGTGGTGCTGGCGGTGCATGTGGGCCGGTGAGGAGCTGAGGGGGGGCTGCATGCGTGCACTGAGGTGGGGGTGGGGCATGTGGTGAGGCAAGGCATGGGCGGGCAGGTGTGCGCGGCGAGGAGAGGTGAGGCAGGTGCACGAGGCAGTGGCTTGCTTGGAGATCGTTTTCTCTGAGCGAGCAAACTGCTGCCTCCCTGCGCGAGGGGCGAGGTGGGTGGCGGTGGGTGCGCGCATGGGCGCGCGCGCGGCGGGTCCAAATGGGCATGGCGGGCCGGATAAATGGGCATGGCGGGCCGGATCCGGCGCCTGGGCCTTAGTTTGAGGACCCATGTTCTAGAATCACAATGAACAAGGCGAGAATTGCTCACAGAAGAAGGACTGAAAGAGTGGGCTGAACTGTAGAGACCAAAGGGAATGCTAAGGAAGTAAAGTGAAAGTGGAACTTAGCAAAGTGCATGTTACTTGGGAAATGACATGGAAAGGCAAAAGAAACATGTAAAACCTGGTTCTATGGGTTAAGAAATCCAAAATAGTTTATTCGGTGTGAGGGATGCTGACTTCCACTTATTGATTTCAATTACATAGCAAAAGCTTTGGCTGCATCAGATTTGTAGGATCTGTCTCTTTTTGACAGATCTCAAGTCAAAAAGAAACATATAACTCACATTTTAAACTCTGCATAAGAATATGAATGTTTAACATACTTTAATGTCCCTGATGAAGATGAAAACATGTAAAAATCAAAATAATTATAAGGTATAATATTACAGATAGGATGCAACACCATTTTCATGAAGAAGAAAAACCTCATGCAGGCCAACTCACAGACGATCTCTGAGGATATATACAGAACCTTATTTCCCTATGTTGTTAAAGCAGAAGCAGTGTTAATGCAGAACAAGCAACCATATTCTGAACAGGGAGGGAACTGGTTCCCAGGCCCTCTTCTAGAACTGGGAGCCTATGCTTGTGCAATTAAACTAGGGCTTGTTTGAGAGACAGAGATATTTGTGCCTTCCTATGTCCTCTCAAAAATTACAGTCAAAGAGTTACTTGTGCATAGACTAAAAGGAGGGATAGCAAACTGCATAATAACCAAGGACCTTGATACCAGAATCAGCTGGAGCCAGTGCTGCTGCCAAGATTTACAGGAGTTAAAAGAAAGTCAGTAAAGGTACAATACAATGCATGATTAACCAGAAGGAAGTCCAGCAGTTCCTAGCACAGCCAGCTGGGGAATGCAAGGAGGTGAAGACTTCTTTTCCGAGTATGCATAAGATTTGCACCTTAAATGTCATAATCACTCACCATATTGTCAATCCTGGCTATAATTATAAATCACAGAGCCGAAAAGGTAAGGAGCAAACAAAGGTTACTAACAAGAACCTAATGAGCACCAATCAGTTCACCATTTTTATCAAAACAATGCAACATCAGCAGGGCAATATCTTTACAACCAAAAAGCTAAGAAAATCAGAAAACTTTGTAGAATTCTTCTTTCAACAAGATTTAAATAGAAAAAGGAGAGCATGACCGAGAAATGAACAAATCTCCTAGCCTGGAGTATGGAGTAATTTCAGAAATGTAGAACACTTAATTTTAGAATTAAAATAGAATAATTAATTCATAACTCATGATACTGTATACATGGGATGGGTAGTATTGTGTGTGGGGGGTGGGAGGGGCTTGCTACAAATTTGTGAAGGGCCTTCCAAAATGACTCCTGGCCCTGAATAGAAAGGCAAAATACTGAACTGATCACAGTAGGTGCAAATGAACAGCTCAACATGGAGTAACCTATACCAGATGTAACAGTAAATAAAATGACCCAGATTAGACAAGAAACATTAGTTCAGCAGTCCACAGTTGGATGGATTTGATCCTGATTCCATACCTTTCGAAGTGGTTTGAGCTTGGTCTCCATTATAAAGTCATACTTGCAGAGTTCACAGCAACGTGTGTCAGAGCTCTTAATCCACTGGTGCAGGCAGGCCTGATGAACAAAACGCAGAGTTCCTGTGCAACGACATGGTGTGATGAGGGGACTTTCATCATCTCCCTCACAGTGACAGATCCTGACAGGAAGGACAGCAAAAGCCAGTGAGCAACACTAAAGCTTCATTGCACTATCTTCATGCTAAGAGCTGGCATTCAAAGCACCCAAAGGGGCACAGCCCTTGAGATGAGATGCCAGAGATGCATTCCATTTCTCACTTTGTCACTTATTATGTCTCCCACTTTGCCACATTACCCAGGCATGGCATAGTACGAAGCTTCCTCCAGTGCTACTCAGTTTTCCTCATTAAAGCATATCATTTATTTCATTTCTATTTGTCCCCATAGCCAAAGCTCTTAGAAATAACCTCCTTGACACTGTGCATACTAATAGTATGTAGTATGTATATTGGGGATTAAAAAAAAGAGATAAGTACTAAGTCTCATTGATTTTGATGTAAGAAAGTTAGGAGTGGATCACACATAACCCAATATTTTGATGTCACATGAACAAGCATTCAGGAGTTGTATGTTCCCTCCACTCCTGATGCATTTGTGATTTCTTGCTGCCTTTTCTGACTTGCAGTAACAATGTTTAGTTTGCAATTTAGACAAAATGACAAAGTGTGGATTGCTGCAAACCAGAAGAGGTGGAAAGAATTCCTGCACATAAAGGAAGGAAGGAGGTTGTGAACTCACAGTTCCTGTCTGTAGTTTATGCATCAATGTTTTGATGTTACCAATGAACCAGGAGTAACAGTGCAATTCCATGCATGTTAATCCAAAGAAAAATCCACCATGTTCCAAGGGACTTGTGCCCATGTAAAATACTGCAATGTCTTTCTCCCTGATATAAACAATACATAACAGTTCTAAAGTGGATCACTGTACTCACTCTTCTTAATTAAGGTTCACACTTTTAAATATAAAAGAGCAAATAAGTTGCTTGTGAAGAATAAACTTAGAAAACAATTCTTATAGACATGTTTCTGAACAACTTTCCTGAAAAAGATTATTCTGGAAATATAAGAATTCGGGGTATGTAGCAAGTCTTATAATTGTGGTTATTTTCAGTAACAAATGTGCACCAGAAAAAGGACAGAGATAAAATTCCTCAGGTTATTTATATTATCTTTGCCAGTTTATAAATAAAAATAATTTCCCACCAAGTAACCAACAACAAGAACAATAACTTATTGAAATGTATATTTGTAAGGGATATGCCAAATGTTGCAAAGATACTGCACGGAGTAACAATAAAGGCTTCAGATGACAAATAATCTAAAAACGGAATACAGCATAGATGGGCGACCCATGGGACACATGGGAAAAAACTGCAGTAGCAGTACCAGGACACCAATTTTGATTGAGCTTGCTGGGGTAAGGTGCAGTATAAAACTCATCCTCCTCCAGCTCCTGATACAGGCACGATCAAGGTTAACGGTAGCAGTGCAGCAACAACCCGGATCAGGACTGGGGGCAAGCAAGGATAGGCTTTAACCTTACCCACTTCCCAAATACCCTGAAGTAGCTATCACAGAGATCTGCACTGAACAAGCTCCTGCTAGCACCAGCTGAGTGTGTGGCCATTCCCAGAGAAGCCAGGGCCTGCAAAGGGAGCCCAAGCCTCCATGGGCAGGATTAAGCCCACAGGCTGGAGCTTTCCCTTATTTTGTCTATGGTAACTTTAAACAGAAATTAGCTTGAAAATGCTCCTCCTTATTTAAATGCCTTAAAAGAAATTGCTTTGGTCTACATTTTAATTCCAATAAATGGCATATTATTTTAACGTCAATGTCTCTAATTTCTTAGTTACTGTAAACAAGATGCTCACTTTCAAGAAGTGTGCAAATGATTCAAAGATGAATGGCCCCTTCTTTATGTTTAAGGTGTATGCATGAGATTACAGGCATGTTGGTGGAACATGTTTTTACTATATACAAATCTATTTCATGCTGAGCCTGCTATTTAGTTTTATAAAGCAATTCATGTACTTGCTGAATTTGTGAATGGTGTCTCATTGTATCTTGGCCTGAAGTTTCAGGTAATTCTTCAAACTAACAGCATCTGACATGATCTGAATAATCTGCTGATTTCCATTGCAGAGACTCAGCAGAATTAGGAGCCCACAGAAAAAAAGTTAGCTACTGTGTTTCTGCATAATTCCCTCCTCTGGACTTCTCTCCTTCCAATTAGGAAGCAAACCCGGAACAGTGACTGACACAGAAAGAAAGGGAGAAGCCTCCTTGAAAGATGTATTCTTGTACCCACACATTTTTTAAAAAAGAAATTCCTTCAAACATAAAATAAAACACTGTGATTCCAGTATTAAGTTGGAAAAAATGTGCCCCAATTATTGGAAGTGTGGCTTTAATCCTCCCACAGCTGCACAGATTCAACATAAATCTATGGAAGTTGTGCACAAGTTACCATAGATATAATCTAATTACCAGTGTAACAACCATGAATGGACTGATAAAAAAAACCCAGCAACAAAGGGGAGAAGAGATGGGGATGAATGAGTTTCCACATGAGCCAAACAAGCCACACAGTCATTTTCTGGAGAAACTAAATTGCTGGATAAAATAATTTAAGAACGGAAGTTTGCCTGGTGTACTCATGACTGCTCCCACAGATTCTGCCCTTTAAGGCCAAATTGTTCTTCATGGATTTCCTGTCTGGAAATAGTTTCCTTCAGTGTAGGAAACAGCAGAAAGCCCATGTTAGAGCATTGCACAAATCAATCTACATATGGATTTCACCCTATTTCCCACAGAAAAGTGCTTTTTTCCATGCAGGAAATCCCATATTGTGTGAAGCAGCTCTGAATTGGAAAAAAGTAATACAATAGCCATGTGTAAAACAGAAGCACCCCTAGCAGCTTATTAACTCTTGTGAATGTTATTATTTTGTCAGTGCTCCCACAGTACTTTTAAGCTGTACCCCTTGCCAGTTTAGATAAAACTTTTATATCGGTGTAAAATATTACACGAAGAGAGCAACATCATTTTCTTTTTAAATTAAAGCCATTTCCCAAAGGGGAAATACACAGCTTTGTTCATTTTAATTCCAGCTATATATAATTTATTTTACAGACTTCCGTGTTTAAGCCATTGAGTATTTAGACAAATAAACTGGGTACTCAGGAGTCCATTTCAACTACTGTCAGAATTGCTTTAAATTATTTTAAACGCTAAAATATCATCCTAAAATTCCACTGGGATAGACAAATAAAATGACAGAGTCACTTTGAACAGATCACAATGATTCTTCAGCAGAAACACTTAACACAAAACACTGACTGAATTATAAATTAAAAACATGTAATGAGAATACCTAACACTGTGCAACAGAAATAATGTCCAGAGGAAATGATTATGGAAACAACTTTAAATGTATTAAGTGCTCTTGTCTCCAGTTTATTTTTGCTTTGCTTGTAATTTATTTACCCATAAAATGATCGGTTGAGAATGATAGACTTTGCCTAAGGACACTGGGAATTAATGTGTATATGTACGGCATACAGCAAGGAGGAGGAGATTGTGCTTTGAGTCTTCAGACACTGAGCAGCAGGGCTGCAGGTTCTCCTTCTGGTTGGTTCCAGTTAAGAACATTTGACAAATGGCTTGCCTCTCACCCACCAGAAAGATGGCGCGCTCCTTCCAAAGAGTGGAAGGGATACAAAGAAGAATACACCGAACTTGTTGAGGATGATGTCCTGTGTTTTGTGCCTTCATATAGAGTTCCTCAGCTACCACTACTAAAGAGTAAAGGTAGCCTGGGCTGCAGAACCAGTCTGTTACTGCAACCAGTCTATATATATATAAATGCCCTCTTGTGGATAAGGATATGCTATGGTAACCATGAAGATCTATAGATTGCCTCTCCTGTGTTAGTCACATTCCACAGACAGGTTTTTAAGGGCAGAGAAAAAGCATGCTAACAGTCATGCCAGGAATACACATGCCAATATTCATGGCTTCTAGAAACACTTCATGAGGGTACAGGAACATTTTACGGTATTCTGAAATCTTAATAATTCTTCTCTGCCTCATTCTGCAAAACATAGCTCAAGAAAACAGCTGGAGGATAAGAAACAGGTGTATATGCTGGTCCTTGACAGAGTTTCCTCTAGAGTTCTCTTGAACTGCAACAAACCTTTTAATGGGTTTTGTATGTGTACACTTCTATGCTGTGGATCACAACTCTGGTACAGGAATAGTAGCTAAGAGTATACATATCTACTCAGAGGCTAAGTCCCATTGGCTTCATGGGTAAGTGGGTACTGGATTGCAGACTCAACTTTGCTTTCTACAGGGTGTGCTTCACTAAAAAAAGCACTCAACTGTAGCAAGGCTTTTTATGCAAAGTCATTTCTAAACCTAAATTTAAACAAAAAATGAGAGTGTAGACTTGCTGCTTATTTTTAAACTGTGTTTCAGCAGCCCAAGTTTCAGGGTCATTTTCAGATATCAGCACTGAATTTAGAGTATGAGATTCTTAAATCCCATCAGCTCTGATGGTTTCCCTTTCTATAAGCAAGCTGGGAAGGGAGTGCTTCTGAGAATGTTTGCAGAGTATACCTTTCTGGAAGAATGGAATAATCTACTTTGGATGAGGAGTAGGGTTTCTCAGTTAGAAACCAGCACCTGTCATTTTTCGAGTTAATCAGTGTGGCTACAGTGACTAAGCTTAAAACAAACAAAATGGCTGTCAGTTATGCTCTTCAAAAATCTGAGAACAAACATTTGAAAAGCTCATTGCCATATTCTCTGAGACAAAGAACAAAAATGCTTTTTTAAACTGTGAAGCTTCAAGCTTCATCTTGAGTTTCCTCCAAATAGAAAATCCCCAGCATAAAGCAAATGCGAATGTACACTTACTAAAGACAAGGGGAGAAATGTTTAAGGAAAAGAGGGTGGAAAGACAAAGCAAAGCAATTACAGCGTATTACTGCTGACCAAACATTTCACTGAAACACTGTACGGTCTGACAGCTGTGAATCACTTAACTGGAAAGGCTTGCTGACTGGGCTTGCACGAAACATTAAGCCATGGTAGTTTATAAGTCATGTGGTTTA